CACACACACCTTTTTGAGCTTAAAAAGCATTAAAAATTTAATCAAACTACCTCCAATTTCATACAGACTTCCAAGATTTTTCAGCCTTTGCAGTCTTTATACATATCAGTAAAATGATCATTGGACTGTTCATTTTATTTTAACAACATGTGTACTAAAAGGTATTTTGACAACAAATATATATCAGCTGTAGCAACATCATATGAATTCTGGCATTTTACATATAGTTCACCAGGATGTGCTAACACAAAAGTCAGAGACCACGTGAGATTTGGGCCATCTTGTGGGGGAAAGGCAGATTACTTCCTACTCACGAGCGCCCCCTCTGGTGAGGAAACTTTTCAGGGATACAAACTTTTTCAGAACACCGGTAGATGGCAGCCATTACAGACGAACGTGTTTGTTGTGTAGGAAGTGAGCTTAGGATGTAATAAGCTTTTCCCACATTTCTCATACTCAAGGTTATGAGGAAAAATTTTACCAAGGTTTTCTCACTATTTGTTAATATCTAGACCATGCGAAGTGAAAAATGACACAATAAGGGGAACGCTCAGATGAGTTCATCATTTATTTATACAAATTAAACAAATCATCAGTTACACTTGATTGTGGGTATTTAGTTTCCTATACAAGCGTCAGAATTAATGAGATAAAACCTGCGTCCGAATTTCAATTCACATCAACTCAGATTACTTATAATAAGACAGTAAAATGTTAGTTCTGATGTTAAACAACCAAATAATTTTACTGGCACTTTTAGCTTAAGTTTTGGCAAATCAAAGAAATAAGAAAGAGGAGAAAAGTAATGTTAGTGTTTCTACTACTTTTACTTTTACCAAAGTGTGAGTCAACCGGAACTGCACATCTTTTCTCGACTCAGGTCCACAATACACGTCACTCCAAACACGTCAGCTTTTACCTGATGATGGCTTCTTAAGACACCCTCGAAGTAGAAAAACTGGCTCGCCTCCGATCAGTCAGTGAACTTTTGTCGGCTCGCTTACCGGTCATTGGCGAACAGGTGTTATTTCCGGGTAACTTTGTGCCTGCTTCAGTCCAAGCCAGAAAAATTCAAGCCTTATCCGGTTTCTCCTTCAAAATAAATCATCTCCCCAGCGGGAGGTACAAAACACACTTGGAGGCTTGAAGCCTCGGGTAGGAACACCGACAGGCATGTCGGGTCCCTGGCTGTAGAATCCACTCTAATTGGCTCCTGGGATTAGATCTTACAGTCCCAGGGCTGAGGTTTCTCTGGAGAGAATCACAGTCGGCTTCCTTCTTTGAGTTAGGAAGTCAGAGAGTTTGCCCAAAGCCATCCGGGTTAGTAATAAGAACGGACAAAGTTTGGTTCCGCCCTCAGGCTTAGAGATGAGTCAGAGAAGAAAGATACAGATTTGCCAGGCAGGCGCCAGTCAAGGTTAAATTCTGTGGTTTTTCAACAACATCATGATAACCTCTTTAGCTTTCTTCTGATAGACTCTAAGAGAAATCACTGCAAAACATTTATGGTGATCAACTATAACATTTCTGTTTTATAATCAGCTCTGAACCATTCTTTTAGTCCAAATAAATGAAAGATTTTCTCAAGAAAAAATCTGCAATTATATTACTGTGTTCACAGTAAAATAAAAACCGTGATTTACATAAAAACACAATGAAAACATTGTAATCAGATTCTCTGTGATTTTTTTATACCAATATAAAACTGTAAGGCACGATAAAAGAAAAGAAGTCGTTGCACTTTTCCTGTGACAGGCATTATCATGATTTAACAAATGCATAAGCATTCTTAGTTAAATGACAAATGAATCATGAACAGAAGAGATTGTTCTGTCCATTATCTGATTAAGAGAACTGAGGGGTTCTCTTCCACAGTTAGAATGACCTGTCATGGCCTAAATAGAGTTCAGTTTGTGACAGAGTTCCTGTCCTCTCGTCAGGCCTGTCCGATGCCTGCTTAGAGGAAGTAAATCTTGTTTCTTCACTCGAGGTGACCCCTACAGTTGTTGTTCGAGGAGCGGCTCGGTCACACGCAAATGTCATTAGTTTGTTATCATTACTAAGGTGCAGGACTGCCCCCCCTTTTTTTTCACATCATGTCGCCTGCCTGGATCTGTTATTATCTCGCCTTGAAGCACGGAGGAGTGTCAGAGGTAAACTCGCTTCAGCTGCTTTTTACAATGTGGTCTCATTTCCGGACTGAGGCATTTTGCGAAAGAAGCCGATATTTTGGTTAAAATACATAAGTATTTATCCGTGTATACTTTATGGATGATTTTATGGATTAAATTTTATGTATTATAATTGAATAAATACGGTAAGCATTTTAATGATTTGGCCGATTAATCGATTATTAAAATAATCGTTAGTTGTAACCCTAGTTTCCTTTCTGTCTTATTTTGCTAATCTAAAACTGACAACCTCTGGTCTGATTGGTTTCAAACACAAACAAGTTGAAACAAATGCCTTCTGTGTCAAAAGTATTCTCTTTGGAAAATGAATAATAACTTCCTTTGTGTTGCAGATTTTGATTCAGATTGGAAACCTCCTTCAGGCCAAATGCAGTTCCATGTTTATGAGTGTTGTGCACTTTCAGTGTCGAGCCTCACACTGGGCCTCAAATGTTGATCTGGGTAAGAAATAAAGAATACATTTACCTTAAATGAATGATTTATCCCCTTTGCCTAAATTATTTCAAATCAAGTGTGTAACTTTAGGTCTACCATTGGGAGGTTTCTATCTATCTATCTATCTATCTATCTATCTATCTATCTATCTATCTATCTATCTATCTATCTATCTATCTATCTATCTATCTACCTATCTAGTCATTAACTTTTGTGTAAAATTATACTCATGTTTTAAATACATCAAAAACATTTTCCAAAATTTGCTAATATTAAAACAGGCAATGTGCACCATGAGATACACATTTAACATCCTGTAGGGGGTGTGCCGGGGGGATTCACTAATCAGGTTATCATTTATTAAGTCTTGTCTGGTATTAGCATCTATATGATTTAGTTCAGGCTACATGTCAGCTTGATCAGAAAACATCCTGGTCAGTGGATGTGATTCTGCTTCCTTAGGGAGAAGTAATCACATTAGTTATACTATACTTTCAAAAAGAAAACAAAAACCCTACAATTAGGACATTTATCTGGGACTGGACTTGTATAGTGCCTTTATATCCAACCAGGATACTCAAAACACCTTTTTTCTTTTCTTTTTTCTTTTTTTTTTTCTCTGTCTGCTTTTTGCTGTCTGAATCAAATTGCCCCTCGGGGACAATAAAGTTTCAACCTGCTCAGAATTGAACTCTTGTTCTCTACAGCAGGTATGATATGAAATGTTTTAAACATATTCACAGAGCCTGTTTTCCAAACATTTGAACTATCCTTTCAAGTTAAGTTTAGTGCTTGTAGCCATCAATACTTGTATTTTGCTTTTCGTTCCAGACTTTCTCTACTCCACAGCTGTCATCTGTATTCATCACTTCTTGTTTAGTTCATTGTTTCTCTCTGTGTGCATCCCCTCAGGCTCATTAGTGGTTGAGAGAGTACCGGACCACCAGCTGGGCTTCTCTGTTGATTTCCCAGCTCAGGACACACCTTCTGAACACGACCCCCCAGGCTCAGACCATAGCTTTGCCCTTGGAGGTGTCCGGAGCTCTCTGGCTCAGCTCCAGGTGCAGGTAGAAAATCTGAACCCTCTGGCCCAACGCCAACCTGCTCTGACACAGACATGCTAGTGTCCCACTGCCCCGTACGGTCCCAGGACCCCTGCAGAGAGTTTCTCATGCTCTAAAGAATGCCTCTGCAACCAGACCTCAGGCTCATATTGTATCTATCCAGACCTGTCAGCTCAACTTGTAACGTACCAAGCCCTGGATTTTCTCTCCAGGTTGCCTTTTGTTTTTCTATGTAAGAGTGTTTGACTGACCGTAAGCAGCTGTGACAGTGAATGGCCTTGTTCTTAACAGAGCTGACAGCCTTCACATCAGTTTATGTCTTTGGTTCTTAGGATGAATTTTATTTAAGCCCTGGATAGTTTGTGACTCAAACATAATCAAATAAATCTGCCTTATCCGTGGTGCAGCACCAGGAAACAAGTCCAAGTTTAAAAAGTGAAGCCTGATAAAATCTTGTAGCTGGAGTTGTTTAGTCTAACTCAAGGTGTGTTTTGGTTCCTGCTCTGAGGACAAGGACCACTCAGAACAATACAAAGTGTACACATAGAGTAAGTTGTGTCATTCTGATATGAACAAGCTGTTCCAGCTGCAGAAGAATCTCAGCAGAGAGCTATACCAATGTTCTGAGCACACTGGGCCTCATGCAAGAACATGTTCGTATTCTTCTCCTAAATTTCTCTTACTTTTGTTCGTACGAAGGGTTCGTACGAACATGTCATGTCAGATTGAACTCTTCTATCTTCAGGAAAAGTGTGTAAATGAGCTGTGTGAACTGATAAATGGACCTTTTAATAATTGACGTCATCATGCAAATCACGCATGAAATGAACGTTTTGATTGGATGCCGAAATGCTGACTCCGCCCATATACGGAAGTTGGGGGGAAGACCTTGTTGATGAAGGCGAGTTTTAATGTTGATGCTTGGTTTGGGAAAATTGTGGACAACAATGGACAAAATCCCTGAAAAGTGTGCCGCGGATCCGAGAGGACGTCATTGTGAGGCAACTGTCGAGGGGGGACACTGTGTCGAAAAAGACAATCACTGAAAAAAGGACGTTGAAGTCAGAGAGAGCATGCCCAGCAAAGTAAGTTCGTTATTCTTGTTCTTGTCTTATTTTCATCAATCTTTTGACTCAAGCATCAGAGTGAAAGTTTAAATGCCAAATCTAGCTGAACTTTAGACTGGTGGTTATTCTTACATTGTCTATTAGCCGCTATAGCCCAGCATCGAGCCTTCGTACGAGTCATTACTATTCACAGAGTCATGTAAACAAAGCCATTGGATCAATGTCTCACATAAATGTTCATAGCGTCCTTATTTCTTATCCTATCTGTGTAAACTATGGCTTAAATAAAAGCTGAGAAAATTGTTGATGTTGTGATATGTAAAAATAAGTATTGTCCCAAGAGATACATTCATAAGCTTTATAGGAAATTTTCATTATAAGTTTTGCTAATGTATTTGCTACAGCTCAGACTGTATTTGATGGAGAATTTGATGTGAATAAAAATTATATTAATTTAAAGCAATATATCTTACCTGGCTTTTTTTTAAATAATGACAAATTCGGTATGGCTGTAATGAATTTGTTGTTGTGAATTTTCTTGCAGACAAGGAGGTGGCTGCAATCATGTGCCCACACTACTGTTTGAGTTGGAGCAATATCAAGCTTGTAGGGCAGTGGAACTACAAAGTAAACCAACCTGCACCCAGTTGCCTTGTTCATGGAAGGGAAGGGACGAGCACAAAAACGAACTGCCGAACGAACTGCTTGTAGTGTTGGAGCAGCAAATTTTAAAGTGAGTCGAATAATCAGTTATTTTTAATCTATTTGATATTATGCTTATTACACAAATACCCAAACAAGCTATTTGAATTCAGAAACTCAATCACAAACTGTAATAATAAAATTACACTTGATAAAAATAAATTACATATGAACTATTTCATGTTTTAAATATTTTCTACATATTTAATCTCTTGTATATTTCTCAGTCATTATTTTTGATAGACCTGTTTTAACATATTTGTATGAACTTATTGATGACATAAATGACATTTTTTATGCAGGTGTCGTTTAAGGCATGAGATCGGCATGGAGGTCTCCTGGAAAACGTTGAACAGCCTGGCTTTTGACCCATGATGTCCTGACGACCGGAATGAAAACACAACTGCAGATCTTCATAAGGACGTTTGGAGCGTGGAACCGTCTTTGCCATTTTGCAGGTTGGTGTTGTATACTTTAAAAAGCCAATAACACTTAGTTTAAGTTTTTTTGAACTTCTTTTATTTTTGCCTTTGTTTTCACATTTCATGCATTGTTGGATTTCAAGTGTCGTGCCTCTGGTTGCTGTGCCAGATCCTGACCCTCAACCAGATGATGCTGCTGACGACCTAGGTCCGAGTCCAGTCTCCATGGACACCATCAGAGAGGCCTGCAAGAAGTTCAAGCATCTTTAAATGTCACACAAGCAGAAGCTGATCTGATTGAAGCACAAACACGCAAGCAGAGCTCAAGTGAAGAATGGTTTCAAGAATGTTTCTTGAAAAAATGTGAAGTTCTGCTGCTGTTTCTTCACACTGTTATGTTTTTTTCTTTAGGAAAATGTTTTTGATAAAATTAAAAGCTGCCTTGTCAAAATGCTTTAATTATTTCCATTGTATTTTAAAGTTCAGTTTTGGAACAAGAACAGTTACTGTTTGACAAAATAAATGAAGTGAGTGACCAAAGTCATAATAAATGGAGCTAAAGTGTTACCTGCTTGGAAGAGAGTCAGGTAAGCACAGCTGTGTCTGATGTCTTGAAGGATCGGGAGTGGGACCGTCTCAACATGCTCTGCTGAACCAATAGCTGAAGTTCTGCTGTATGCATGATCCAGCTGCTGGAGGTCAGTAGCTGCTGGTAAAAAA